AATCTTTCTACTAATCCATTAGTTTGTGGATGGTATGGAGTCGAGAGATAGTGTTTGATCTGATATTTGTCACATAGTTTTCTAATTAATTCATTGACAAATATTATACCTCTGTCTGATATTATTTCTTTTGAAAATCCATGTCGGCAAAATATATCTTCATATAGAAATGGAATTATTGATTCAGCTGCACTGTTGGGTATTGCTCTAATTAGAATGTCATGGAATCTTTTATGTATGATGTAATGTGTGACCTGCTGATTATTCTAAATCTGATTGATTAACTCGTGGTATGGCTAGTGATTCGGGCTAAAGTATTTAGCACCAAATGATCTGCAAAAAATTTCTAAATTAGGATTTAGGACATTTAGGGCACTTTAGGACTTGTATGATAATTCAAAGTCCGAAATATTTAGGACTTTGAAAAGTACTTTAGCCCGAATCATTAGGTATGGCGCTCTTTGTGAAAAAAATTTTCTTGCGGAATTCCGTAGCCGTTCCTCCAGAAACACCGAACGTTGTCGAAAATTTTTTTAACCTTAATGACTTCTCACGACGAACTCGACCACTTGAAAATGTTTTTACGAAACGAACCCTTGAATAAAATTACTGTTGCTAGAGCCTTTCATGAACTATGGAAGTGTAAAGATATAGAATCGGAAGGAAGGGATTGTAACTGTCTTTTGGAGGTCTTCAAAGAGCTGACAACAGAAAATCTAAATAGCGATAGAAAGCAACACTTCACTTCATTACAAGATATAGACAAGGTACATGTAATTCACTAATATATGTTGTTTTTATAGATATGATGATAATATAAATTGAGCCACTCGTTAGTCAGTTAATCATTTGCGAGAAGTTTCAGCTTTTGTATTACTGGATATGAAGAAGATCTGTAAGCGGTGGTGACTGGCCATAAGCCATTTGCGAGAAGGTTCAGTTTTATATTACAGTATACAAATGAAGATATGTAAGCGGTGGTGACTGGCCATAAGCCATTTGCGAGAAGGTTCAGCTTTATATTACAGTATACAAATGAAGATATGTAAGCGGTGGTATATTAACTGAGAAGGCTATGATATAAGCAAATATTCGGCTCACTAATGATAGATCTGATCTGCACAAGTTTTTAATAAATAAAAGCTTTTATTTTCGGGTATTCAGTAACGCAAATATTATTTTTTTTCTAGATGCGATGTATATGGGTAGAGTTAAAATCATTAATAGATGAAGACCTAATTCGGTACGTAGGTGTTTCTGAAGTAAAATACAAAAGAGGGGATGTTTAGAGTAATTCCCTCTATTAAGGTTTGAGATTAATGAACCTCCAAGTTGGAAATTACATGCTATATGTAACATTAATAACTTAAAGGATGAATTGCAGGTATTTTATGCGCATTCATTAATTTTACCAAAACGAAATATAACTAATTATATTACCAATTCCAAAATTACTAGAAAGCAGACACGTCTGTTCATAATCATCTTCTCGAAAAGATACAAGAACTAGATATTAATGATTTAACTTATGATGACCCGTTGGCTAATGGTATAGTTGACCTTGGATCCTCTCAATACCAGTTAGTGGATGATGACTACGACGTCCTTGTGGTGAGTAATTTATATTTACACGAATTATGTTGATCATACTAAATTGTATAACATATTTGGAACTTGTTTATACAGGGTGAGAAATGTGGCATAAGGAAGTTAAGAAAAGGTGCTCTGATAAAGAGTGTGTGTGCAAATTATGTTACGAAAAGAAACGAAATTCAAACCCAGTGCAAATTCGTCATTGCACCTTCAGAAACGACAAGGCACAAGAACTGGGTTGAGGGCGAAAACGACAGAGCACAAATAGCAACAAATATAACAGACACTCTTCTGCAAGAAATTAAAAGGAATGTTCTTCATAAAATTTCCAAAGCTTCAGAGAATGCACTCGTAGACGTTGTGACACGTCTTATGGAGGCGTCTATATATCAAATGCCAATTGGCTTGGATATTGAAGTAACAAGAAATGATCGTCAGAGTGATGCGAGCAAGAAACGAAAAAATCGACAAGTATCCGGTTCAAGAGGCAACAAGCCTGACTTGATGATTCGAGCATTTTTCAAACAGAGGTGGAACGAAATCGCATACATTGAAAGCGGAAAATGGAAATCAACAGGCACAAAAACCCGTAATGATCATAATAAGTTGGCTCGTTTCACCTTAGACGGGTATACCGATATGTCGAAAAAGACCGAAAAGAATAAGCTGTATAAATTCTGCATTATATTCGGTATAAATATTACTGGTAAAAAAACATATTTCATATTCATTCAATAATGTAGATAACATTCTATTGTCTAATTGTATTTCGATAATTAGATGACCACTGTGTTGATGTATACGGATTGTTACGAGAAAAAGGTATAAAGTTTTACCTCCCTATCATAAAAGCCAAGATTCCTTTACATAACGAAACTGTGGATAAAGTTGAAGAATTTGTGCATGCCTTATTAATCTTGCGGGTAAGAAATTTTGAAAAACCAAAAATCAGTCTTTTAATACTATACACCATTCCTAAGGTTATTTTATCTTTAGAACGGGATACTGGTAAATCTTCATGAATTCAATCAGATTTTATTAAAGAAATCTAGGTCAGCCACCGAACATGATTCCTCCGAAGAAGATTCTACTATCAAAACCCCATAAAAATATAATGCTTTCTTATCGAAGACGAAATCGCTAGGCGGATCATTGACAAATCGCATTAGGTTGTCCACACTTGCTAAAGTTGTTTTTAATGAAATTATAGGCTGTAATTCATGTTTCTTATCACTTTCTTCTTCGTTCTGTACGGTTGCAATAATATCATCATCAGTAAAACGTTCAATACATAATTGATCATCAATACAAATATACTCAGTAGCCAACGACGGCTCACCATCCATCCCTAACCGAGAAATACAATGTCAATCGTGTTATCTGTATATGATATCTGATATCGTGTAACACATGAAGCTTTGCTATTGGTTATATCGGTTTATCGAGCGTAAATTTTATATGAATGTGAACAAAATAATATCGGTTATCGAAATTGCGCGATGTTATATGAAATATCAGTTTTCCGAGCAAAATTTATTATACGTCTTTTGGGGATTAATTAGAAAAATTATCGGTTTTGGCATTTATCGGTTTTTCGAGTATCGGTTTCCGAGCTTTGACTGTATTTTTCTATCGCTGGCTATGCGAACTTCTACGCTGATCTCTGATTCGCGAATTTAGGCTCTTCGAGCCATTTCTTTGAAATAAAACACATGACATCGCTCCCCTGAGACCTGTTATAATGTGATGTAATTTCGCAGTTACGATGTGGTTATAATTATTTTCAGATTGAATTTGCTATATTCACTTAATTTATATATTTATGCGTTATTTTCCGCATTAATTATATTATCATATTATAACAATCATGACGAGTACATCGGGTCTATTTTATTGATATAGATAAAAATACAAAGAATCGAAATTACAAAGAATTAATCGTATAATGGTGAAGAAACTGTGGGACTCGGATTAGCGTTTCGGAGTGGGCGTGTATTAGCTTGCTCTAATGCCTGCATTAGTAAGCTTTTGTTTACAATTGTAATATTTCTCAAAGTCAGTAATAGATGAATAAGAGGCTTCACACGCCATGAAGTACTTTTTGTAAAAGGTATTTGAGCTTGGATAAGATGAAAATATCTTGGTATCCTGTTTGCGTCTCTCACTAAAACATTGAGACATAAATCCTCAAAGAATTTTCGATTTCTAATTTTCCGGAAATTTTTTAGTATAAAGTTTTTTACATAGCATATATACATGTATATTAAACGAACTTTTGAATATATCTACATCTTGTATAAAAAATGGAAAATACAGAATCCAAAATTGATTCGTTGAAAGAATTAAATTCTCAACTCATTGCCACAATTTCCGAGCTTAGAAAGGAGAACGCTAAGGTCAAGGCCGAGAATACAAAATTGAAACAAGATAAAGAAGAAATCGAGGCCAGAATCGTGGGGTTAGAACAGACCACCAAAGAAAATGCTGAGCTTAAGGCCAGAGTCACGAAATTGGAACAGACTGCAGAAGAAAATGCTGAGCTTAAAGCTAGGGTCACGAAATTGGAACAGAAGCAGTCACAAAACGATATTTCTTCCGATACCCGTCCATCCAACTCCTCTCCCATATCGCCAGAAGATAAAGAAGTCGATGATTTTGTGGATTTGAAAGTTAAAGAAAGGGTTAGTAACGAGATAAGAGATAGAAATAGAGAAAAAAAGCTTCAGCGCGAATCTGCTGGAAACCAAGCCCAAGACCTATTGCAATTTCATGAAATTACATCCAGAAATATGGAGACACGACCCCAAGTTAATCATAATACAAAAACCGTTCCCTCAGGGAACGATCAAAGTCATGTGATTTTAACAGAGTCACCTTCGTTGCAAACTGAAGTGTCTGAATTAGAACAGGATGATGAAATTGATAAAAACCAAATCGTTGAACAAGGTTTAATACAGGAATTGCATTTACCTACTAAAGAAAACGATAGCTCTATCAAAATCAGCAACTCTGACGATAAATCAGGGAATATATCTTCAGAGGAATCGATGATTGTTCCCTTTGGAAATTCTGCCCAACATTTGTCTCATTTATTTAAAACAGCAATCAAATCAAGACAACAGGAAATCTTAAACTGGTATTATTATTCCCTTGAATTCGAAAACAGGGTTCATGTTATTACAACTGATGGTAAGATCAAAGACAAAACAGCAAGAACAATGATTTATAAAGAAATGAAACCATTTCTTCCTAATATCACTCAAGATAACTTGCGTAAAAAAACTCTTAGAGCTAGAAAACTTCTTATGTTATTCGGAGAAAATGGAGTCTGAATAGATAAAATTAAGCTAATTACATATAGTGCGAATGAAATTTCAAAATTGACTAATGTACAAATTCAAAATATTATAGATCAAGTGAAATCAAAAACCGTTTCCCCGGGGAACGATCAAGTTTTACCAGAAACCAAGGTAAGTATTACAACCACTTCCTCTAATTCGATAAGTGAAGTTAAATCTTTACCAGAGGTTGATATATGTGAAGAGATTGATCGAAATTCTGATCCATCAGAAGTCAAGATACAGGTAAGTGCGTCCGATGACTTGCGGAGTGGGGATGCTATCGCATCTGAAAATTCCAACTATGATTACGATTTTGAAGATCCTTTCGATAACAACGAAGATAACTCACGGAGTGAGGATGCTAATTCATCTAAAGATGATGATGAGTTTTGCAGTTTCTCTGATGATGATGAAGGTTATTATTACGATTTAAATACCGGTGAAACTTATACAAAATCAGAACATCGTTATTCAATCAGCGCATATTAATAGGATAAAACCTCATTTATGGAATAGCTGGGAAGCTAGCACATCCGTGTTAAAGATGATCCGCATCCGAGGTTTTTATATTAGCCTTGCTATTGATTTTCAGCACATGTCTTCGTGTAACCTAATTTTTACCACATAGACTAGAAATACGTTTAAATGTTAAATATTTTTTTGTTAATGATGAACTTCACTAAGAATAAACATTTCGGACATAATGTTCATAAAAATACCGACTTATTTTTAAACTTCATAATTATTCGTGGGTAATGCGATGACCAGTTAAGCGATCCACGATTTATCAGCATTACATAATCTCTCGCTAATTAAACTGAATTAACGTCCATTCTTAGTCTGTGGGATGATTTACATGATCATCTTCGAATATATGCTATTAGTAATAAAGAAATGCTAATACCTGATTACGTTTTCTATCAAGTCAAAAAATCATTCTCGCATTTTCTCTACGTGAAAAAAAATGATGGTCCTTATATACGGGATAGCGTTAAATTTTTCTATTGTAAATTAAGGAGTGCTGATCTTCGTGATGAATTATAATAACGTATTTACCTTAAAAGGGTTATTCCAAAAATCGAAACTTAGACCCATTACAAATCATATAAAAGAAGGCGAGGCAGTTAGTAAACCCTTTTTATCTGTCTTGCGCAAAAATCAAATAAACTAATAAAATCTAATCAAACTTACCAATATTTACAAAGTTAATATCCTTGATCAAACGAGTATAATCCACAAAGTAATAATAAAGTAGGTTGATTTATGTTTCGGGTTGGCTTCTTGAAACTTATCATCACGATGTTAAACTATTTTCCCGCCTCTATAGATGTCCCAAAATAAAACGGACATATTACTCTTGATATATATCGGCATTTTGATCTTCGCCGAGAAAATCTTTGACTATCACAAAATAATTTCTCATATCATCAGCGCAATAAAATTTATGATAAGCACCTTCACGTGCCGAATTCTTGATACTTGGCGCAGTATCATACTGATAAAGAAAAAATTATTTCTTAAGAATGAGACAGACTGGAATATTCTAAAAATGAATCGTAGTGGTAAGCGTAATCGGAAATATTACTTATTTTTTTTTACCTCAATTACTAATCTTCCGAACTTATACTTAGGTTCGAAATTTCTTAATCTCAGAGAAGTTCTCTTTCGAGAAATAATATTTTGTATATTTGGGAGAGATATAGATAGACAAAAATTCTGTAAATATGGGTGGGATAATTTATTTCGGAAATCTAGTATAGTAAAAGGGTGTGGAGGTGAGAATCTTGTAGTTAATAGTTGTGATAGGAACAAATTAGTTATAGATATTTTTCGAAAATTTGAGAGAGCAAAGAAATAACTTGATGCGTTAAAATGGTCTAGGATCCGCGTACTCCCTTCCTCTTTGATAGCATCATACATTTCATTCTCAAGCATTTTCCGATTCGCTATGTGATAAGAATCATGTGACTTTGAAATAGCTGATCTGTGTGACCCATAAAAAAATTTTTTTAACCGTCTCGTCCCAAAATACACGATTATTTTAAGCGAAAATGTACAGAATGGAACATTACCGAGTTTTTAAACGAAAGTAAGGAGGAACCGTTTCAGTTGAAGATTGGTTTGTATTTAAAAAGTCTCGAGACCATCAATGACAATGAACAAGGGAAGAGGCAAGAAAGGGCACAACTTCTCCTGAATGATTATAGGGAGGCAAGTAGAAGTTCTTTTTTTATTTAATGTAGATAGAGTAAGTGGCGTGGCAGGGAATCTTCAGGTTTCTTTGTCATTCAAGTCTTTAGGTCGAGCCACCAAACCAGTGCTGGGGCACAGGTGATCTTTAGGTTCGCCTGATGTTTCAAGTCTTTAGGTCGAGCCAGTGCTGGACCCATGAGGGCACAGTTAATCTTTAGGTTTAGTTGATGTTTGAATGGGATGGAAAAATCAAATTTGGTTTAGGTCTATTAGTCAGAATATTACTAATTTCTCGTTCATGTTAGGGATCCGATGGTAAAATAGCAAAAAAATGGGAAAGAGAACGCTCTCGTGTGCTCCATCTCCATCAGCCGATGTTTGTAGATGGGACGATCAATGGGGCTGTAAACAACGGAAAAATCGGAAGAGTTGGAAATATAAATGGGTTCATTGCTGGATCATCCGAATCAAAAAGAGATCGGGAAAAAGTACGATATATTTTGTTAGCTAGAAGTCGTGAGGATCAGCAGAAATAGCTAATGTTTAAATTGCAAATTTATTTTAATGTTGTCCCTTATATTTATGTAGGATTTAAATAACGAGATCGACAACTTCTTCCAAAGTCCTTCCGAACGACAATCATCCAATCTGTTTTTGCGGAAATCGGAAATTGAACAAGATATTTCCAACGAAACGGGCAACGAGGTAATATCCACATTATGCTCATTTATTACTATTCAAATAATTGCTAATTGTGGAAATCTTTCTTAGACCGATCATGAATTACAAGATGATGCCGATTCGGATTTAGATACAGCAGATAATGAGGTAAATTATATCTGGCATATGTTGTTAGCTTATAAATGTTTACAATCCTCACCACATCTACTCTTGAAGGAGGCGATTGATGATCAAGAAGAGGTGAAGGAGATGTGAAGACAAACAAAGTAAATCTCATTAGACTTCTGGTTTCGGTTTTTTTGTGTATACTAAATACTGATAAGAATTTATGTTCTTGCCATTTAGACGGGACCACTTAGACTGAGCGAGGCCAATCGAAGGGAAATTGACACAGCTTATAACTTAATGGACAAGCAATATATGTGGAAACTCTCATCTGAAAATTCGTAGAAGAAGAATTATATAAGCTGGGGAAAAGATTAGAGTTCGAGCAGTTTGTATTCATGCATGTAATTATGTTTGTTTAGGAGCGTAGGCACAATTGTACTAAATTGTTATTCCCTAGCGCCGTTCATTCGTTTATCCTCGATGTTGAAGATGAATTGATTATGGAACATTTTACAGAGACAGAACTTCGAGAGATAGACAACACATCTATTCCAGAAGTACCAGAGCTCTCGAATGAAATTGATGAGTTTCTAAATAAATTCCTTGGCAAGGTAAGAAATATTTCATTTACCTGTATATGTGTATCGCAAATAAGCCACAGGTTCTTTCTCTTTTGTTGTAGACGAACTTAAATGAAATCCGTCAAATAATAAAAGAATCAAGTTTTGGTAATGACTATGACCATGAGAAACACCATGACCTGGATTATATATGTCTTGCTTTGCATTCATTGTAAGTATTCTTTTTATTTTATTTTTGTTCTATGATTTTGTTAAAATTTATGTGCCAATGGTGAATTGACTGAAAACTGCCTACAGGGTGAGGGAAATACAAAACGGTAGTATCAAGGACACGAATCTCGAGAATTGGTATAACTGCCATGTATGGAGTGTAGTGTTTGATCAAGCATTCGGAGACATAAGGGCGATAGCTGTAGTCAGGTAAATTTTTTTATCTTTAAAAAGTAACTTCTTTTGATCTGACTAGGTTTTTTATAATCAAGGGGCGAAAGCACAAGCATATCAACTGCGACACGAAAAAATAAAAAAAGGAAATCAGAGGAACGGCGTAAAATCGGTCGCAGAGGGGATTGGATTCTAAGGGCTGTTGGTAACGGCAAAAAAGATGAGTTTGGGGCTGGGGAGGCGGGTAAGGATTGGGTTGACGAACATGGCACAAAGTACATTAGAGAAATTGGGTTAAAACTCCCCAAGACGCTCAAAGACATGTTAGTAAATCTGATGGAAAGAATAAAGTGGAACGAAGAGGTGCGCAAACAAATACAAACAATAGGCATTATTCATGCAGGTATGTGCCTGAACTTGCGACTTATTTTTCAAATGCTTGTAACTTAATACATTAATTCTGTAATAGGCCTCACGATGACAATAGTATATGCTGACAACCCTAAAGGTTACATCTGCAGGTTTCGGCGTTGCGATCTGATGGAAGTCCCCGACACAGTAGAAAAATTTGATTCCGTTTTAACGATCCTGGCATCTGTTCTGAATGCAAAGGTTAGATTCATGCTTTTCGTTCTATGTTTTATTATACAAAGTTGACATATTTGTAAATGTTAGTCTGTAGTCCAAGAGACAGTAAAGATGGTTCAAACAGGAGGACAGGCTACAAAATCATTTAAGAGTGTCGGGCTCCGAAAACGACCTCGAGACGAGAGTCAACATAAGTTATCTGCGTGTATGTCTACTCCAAAGAAAATGAAATTATGCACTAAAGTGAATAATATTAGAAGATCATATCCTGCGTCGCCATGTCCAGGATTACCAAATGCTGAGCTGTTGATTTAATTCACTAAATGGAAATTAGTTTAGCTTTTATGTTGTGTTACCAACAAATGTCAAAAAAAAATAATCGATCATTTGCAAATAAATTCACAGTACATTCATTGTAAATATTGTTACAACTATTTTCAATAATTCCGTAATTAACGAATCTTTTAAAAATAATAGAAAATATGAAAATCTTCAAAAATAGTAATAAA